TAACTGGTGAATAATCCCCAGCCACAAATGCACTTAAACACTAGTGCATACTATACAGTTTCTGTTCAGTCGGCCTATACCAGTGCTCTGCTCAGGAAACACAAACAGAGGCTAACTGCATATACAGTATACTCTATATGCAAATAACCACAGTCAGTCCTGATTAAGTAACTACAATGAGCAGGTCTGAATAGAATGGACGAGGTGCAGGATGCAAACCAATAGAGTGACAGCAAAAGGCAAAGCTCACGTTGCTGGTCCCCCTGCAGAATCCCCTTGTTGCGTTGCAGGTCCAGACCCTCGCCCTCCACACGGGCCTTGTCCTCCTGCATACTCCGCAGCTCAGAATTGATGCTGCTGATCTCCGGCTGAACATCCTCCCGACTGGCCAAGTTCTCCAGCTCAGCCTGCAGCCCCGTGATCATGCAGCGAGTGTGGCCAATGCGCTTCTGCCGGTCTGACTCCTCGGTCTGCTTCAGGCTCAGTGCCTGCTGGATGTCCTCCACCTGCATGTCAGGAGGAGAGATGCCTACTGTGCCACCGTTACGGAGCTCGCTGGTAGTCATGGTGCCTCCGCTACTTTTAGGACAACTAACCTCCATACGCTTATGGTCCAAGTTGTCCTGTTTCTCTTTACACCTCCGTGCTGCTTCTTTGATGTTCACACTCTGAAACATGGAGAGACATTTCAATTTAGCTGTTGAGCAGGACTTCGGGGATGTCACTGGGGATGCTCGTCCGTGACCCCATCCCCAGCCATCAGCAACGCCCCTGACCTTGTCCTTCATCTTGTCCTCGATGGGCTTGAGCTGGCCGTTCAGGTCCTGGATGTGTCTCAGGGCAGGCAGGTGCTCCTCCTTCAGTGCCGTCAAGCTCCTCTTCACATCGGCCCGCTCCTGCTTCACCTCCTCCAACTGCTTGCGGGTGGCCTCATACTCCTAAGAGGGAGACCAGTTTCACACAATCAGAGGCAGGCAGACATGCACACACACCGCCGCTGTGCCAGCGTACCACCAGAGGCAGGCAGACATGCACACACACCGCCACTGTGCCAACATACCACCAGAGGCCGCTTGCGCTCCAGCATTTTGATCCTGTCCAGATGGCGCTCTCTCTCGTAGAAGCGCTCCACGTCCTGCTTGTTGCGCTCATTTCGCTGCATCGCCTTCTCCAGGAAGCTGGCCTTCTCCTTGCATACATTCTGCAAGCATGACAACATCCAGAGACCATTCACAAGCAGACAGAGAGAGACAAAAAGAAGACTAAGCAAACATTAGCAGTCTCTCTGAGACAACACAGAAGCACCATGAGCATTTTTCAATCCCTCCACTCAGAATAAGCACCAAAACATGTGCACCAGTTTACTAAAGCACAGAGAGGTAATTCGGTTAAGCAGATGGAAACAATACTTAGCCACTGTGTTATATGGACTGATATATGTATGCTAATAAAATATAATATAAAATATTCTACCAAACAAGACAGACAAGGCAGAGAAAACTCCCATCAATTCCTGGTGAGCCTCAAAACTAGAATCCCGCAGAACTCCAGCAGAGCCAGGAGCTGACAAATCAATACTTAAACATTTACTTAGACTTTAGACAATTAAATCATTCAGTAAAGCCTTTAATAAAAAGCTAAGCTCTAGCTGACTGAAGGATTAACCATAGGAAAATGGCTCATAACCTCATGCACCAAAATAACCGCAGTCTCCATTCTTCTTCTAAATATGTTCAGCATTTTATGCTTGTCCCACTTTGGTTATATGACCAGTAACACCAATGACACTGGGTACTGGTTAGCAGGGAGACAGCTCACCTCCAGCTCCCTCTCCTTGGCACGGAAGTTCTTTAGCTCACAGTGGAACTCGTACATCTCTGGCGGTCCCACAGACTTTTCTGTTGCTTCCAGAAGCTCAATCTTGCTCATTTTGGCAAACTCCCCAACTTTCTCCTATATGGGACAATATCAAATCCTGAACTATTTTTTCTGAAACACCCAAGACATGTAATCAAAGATCCAGCATTATTTGAGTCAAACTGAGGCTGAGCAGGCAAACAGTTAGACACAAACTCACCTGAGGCAAGAACTGGCAGAGATTTCCCACCTGGATCTGAAGGGTCTTCACCTCCTCCTCAACTGCCCTCTGATTGACTTGCCGTTTATTGATTGTCCAAACAGACTGGTTGTTCTCTACAGAAATCTCTCTGCGGATCACCAGATTTTGCGGTGCACGGGATCTGAGACCGTCGGGTTTTACAGGGAGTTGAAGTAATGAAATATACATTAATCCCTAATGCACAGATCTATACACTCAATAGAAACATTTACATTTATGTAACATGTATGTCACGTTCTAATGTTTATACTTACAGCACGATTTCCACAGAGCCGCTGGAACAGCCTCGCTTCACATAGAGGCCGACCTGTAATAGGAGCGGCCTAATTAGCCCATCACAAGAAAAGGAGCCCCATTACCAGACCAACTACAACACTCACACACCCCCTACTGGACATCTTTAGTCATAGCAATGGAGAGACATTATTGTGCATATTCCATCTACCTCTCCTAAGAGACACACAAATGTACAGGTGTTTCAGGGTTAACAGTTTGATCTGTCCCATGAATAAAACTGCATCTGATCATACCTTATCTCCCCTGCCCAAGAGAGAGACCTTCCCTGCCAAACCCAGGCAGATGGCACAGACGATGCTGGACTTTCCAGTTCCGTTGGCGCCCACTATCATGTTCAGGTTTGCTCCAGGAGTCACCTCACAATGGTCATATGTTCTGGAAGACACAGTTGTACAAGTACGTCAACTTAGTTAACACAACCAGCTTAAACTGGATCACATTTAAAATGACATTTTACTTTGCAATCAATAATGCGCTTATTTCATAATAACCCTAATACTCAATTTATATGATTCAATATAAGGAGTTTTTGTTCCTTGCCTCTATTGTCTATTAAATAATTCACACTACTTAAAAACGGCCAATCACATTTATCTATGGGGTTACATGGCTGGCAGCGCAGAATGACTATAGAGAATTATTATTATTCTGCCCATAAGGAATCTTTTGGGGTTTATAATAATAAGCAAACTGCTGTTGCACATAAACGGCACAATTTATTTATTATGAAAACATAATTAAAAGGCTGTAAAATTAAATCTCCATGGCCAAATTAGAATGATTGCAGCGAGCTGTCTAGCAACACGTAAATTTGTGTTGTTACAGATGCGGTTTAACTATTTACGTTTTCAGTTTTCAATTATTAGCTCAGAAAACGAGGTGGAGAATAAGAAAGATGTAATGTAATAGCTATACACGTAAGGATAATTGACTATACAAACCAATACTGCCGCGAAGTTATGATATATATGAAATCGTAGTAATGTAATGAGCTCCATTTACTAAAACCTTCTGAAGTGCTGTAGAAAGTTACGTGAAAGTGCTAAAATCTGCTTTAATAACTCGGGGTAAAAACAGTATAGTAACATCTTATAAATCCGTATAATATATTGAAATAACACTTTGTTCTGACAGCTAACCCGTTAGCACCCTGGAATTTAATCACACTGACAGGAAGTTCGTCATGGTGATGCGAAGTATGGATCCCTCCACGAACATGTTGTCGTCTCCGCTGAAACGTGAAGCATCCCGATAATCAGACGAGAACCCTGGCATAGAGCTTTGACTTAGCGGGGCCGTGTCCACTTGAGCATTTCGCTTCCTTTTTCCCGGCGCCGCCATGTTTTCCAGCCCGAACCTCACTGCTGTGTAGGAAACGCCTTTTGCGTCTCTGCCTTATGCGTCACCGCCTTTCCCGCCCAGCGCGCGGACTGGTTCATATCGACAAATGGAGTCTTTGCCTCCCATATTAAAGAGCTGCTTTCTGTTTTTAAGTAACCAAATAGTAAACGCCTAACATTATCTGTATAAATCTACTTTTGCACAATTAGAATTATACGGATCACACTGAATTCAATTCAACTTATTTGTATACCATCCATTGTCAACATGGTTACTCCAAAGCACTTAGTAAGGAATCACAGAACAGTAACACTTAGTGACATAACACAGCTTGTGGTAATAATACTGTATATGAATAGTAAATAAAAGCCATAAGCTGGGGTAGGTTTTAGGTTCTGCTGACCAGGATAAGTGTTTGGTATGGTACGTCATCATCCCTGCACACTGGTACTCTGTACTGGAAAAGTGTCACGGAAGCTGGATAAATGTCATAATACATATTAACCCATATCAAGTCCTGCAAAAATAAGACCATAACACTACCCAGCCAGATTCCTGAAAGTTCTGTAGGATTTCTGCATACTTTTATCATAAAATAAAAATCAGACGAACAGCTGATGTTAAACCAAAAAATAACTTCACACAGCTTTCGCCAACTGCAAAGAACAGGGATCAACTATTTTTAGTAGAAGATGCGGTTTGTTTTATCAGCAGTGAATATTAGCCAAAGAATGTCACCAGGATACCAATGTCTCCTGTAATGGAGCACAATTTACAGTTACACATCGGGGAAGCCTCATTATTTCCTGGAATTATGATGATACTATCAGTGATATTTACAATAACTGCAGCCTTGAATAATGGAGCAAATTTACACTTAGACAATGACTGCCCCCTGGTGGGCCACTTAGGGGTTGCCTGCCTACATCCAGCTAAAGCAGGGCTCTTCCATTCCAAATCTAGGCCTTGTTTTCAGTTCTCCCAGGTAGCTTAGTAATTTCCAAATCTGATTGACCACAGAGGCTTCACATCTGATTCAAGGGTGAAGGAAGGCTGGAAAAACAGCAGTGCATGGACCCTGAAGACTGTGATTTGAATAAACCCTGAGCTAAAGTAATGGCCTCTGACTGCAGCCCCACTGTACACTGCCGGAGATTAATGATTCATAAGGATGCTTCTGCAAAGCATACTGTATGTCTGCATGACATGGCTGCTAATTGAAAACATTAGTCTTGTAACTCCATAGGGTGACAAGTGAATTTTTATTAGGAACCATCCCTGGAATCAAGAACATTTAGTTAAAGTTGACATTAGATATGTTAATGGTGGATGATAATATTCTACAGTAGCAGTAGCTGCATCACATTTACATCATCATTCCTCATGACAGCTCAATGAAAAACCTCCCAAAATACCTCAGATGCTGAGCTGAGGGCAGAAAGGCACTTTGACAAGAATATCAAGGTATAATGACAAAATGTTAAAAATTCATATGAAATTGTTTTTGACATATAACATGCATGTAAAATGTGGCTCATCAGGTTTATTTAATACATAAGAGATAATGACTGATACATACAAGTCTGATTATAATAATCTCTTATGTAAGTGACGTAACAAACAAATAAACTGGGACTTGTTCCTAAAGCCCATGGGTGTGTTTCCCGAAGAGTTCTTACTCTAGGTCATTCATAAGTTCTATCATTTAACTCAGAATTTACGAACGATGTAGTGTTAAGGCGGCTTCAGGAAAACCACCCCAGATCATCCAGTGGGCATGACCTGCTAATATTGGCTGTAGCTTCCACCTAGAGCTCTGTGTCTTTGTACTTTTGTGGGTTATAATAGCCCTTCCTCGTTTTCTCAGCCAGCTGCCGCCGGTACTCATCCTCATCCTCACCATGGTGGTATGCTCGGCCGTCGGCCTGTATTGGCTTAGAGTGTGGGGCCTGGATGTCCAGGTTGGAGCTGGAGCTGTTGGTACAATGCTAGCTGTTAGCAGGATGGACATGGTGGGTACAGGGGCAGACTTAATGGAGGACGAATTACAAGGCAGCAAAGCAGGAGATGAGAAATAGTGTCAGCAGTGGGAAAAAGCAAGTCAATGATGTCACCAGGAAAGTCTTCTCTTACCCTATTGGCTGAGGTCTGCTGTGGTCTGGTTTTGGGGCTTTAATTGGGACTGCATAAATATCTGGATGCTTCTGGGCTATTTCTATCTGCAAACAGGAAGTTTGTTTGCTAAAATAGCAAATACTTAGATAAGAGCAACTGCAAACATGGTTAAAAAACAGGTAGAACACAGGAATATACCAATACCATAATGAAAAGGACAGTCAATACAGCAGTACAAAAAGCAGAGAGAGAGGCCAGTGCTCAGTGAGTAACTGTGATAAGACAGAGAAAGGTAGCGAAGAGGCCGGTGCTCAGTGAGTAACTGTGATAAGACAGAGAAAGGTAGCGAAGAGGCCGGTGCTCAGTGAGTAACTGTGATAAGACAGCAAAGTCAGTGAGGTGCGTGTGACCAACTGACCCTGGCATTCTGAGCTTCCTGCAGCTCCAGCATCCTCTGTGCCCGGGCCAGGTGGTCCAGCTTCTCAAAGGTTTTTACTTTCCCGAGAAAGGACTTCTGAGAAGGATCCACCTGGCTGCCCTCGGAGTCAGTGGGTGGATCAGTGGGGGGGTCAGTGGGTGCACGGGGGACATAGCTGGGCTTCTGCGGAACTGGAGGCGGAGGAAGCTTGGCACCAGTGGGGCTACTGGGGAGGGAGTCATAGGCGTCGCTGTGGGGGCGTGCGGCTGGCTCTCGGGGCTGTGGCCGGGCCTGCGATGGGGATGTTTGAATCCAGCACTAAGGCAATGGGACTCATACAAATGGCAGAAGGCTAGTACATGTCACATTACTCTACAGACACGCTGAGTTCCTGGTGCACCTTCAGGGGTACTAATATGGGGTTCTTCTGTGGCATACAGGAACTGAGCCACACCTGAGCCATACTGCGAAGAGAGACTAGTTACAGCGTGGTTCCAGCTCGCTTTGGTTTGTCACTGCTGAACAATCAGCTCAGTAAAGGCACTGCCAGGTTTGGGGAGCAAAAGTGACATAAAACCAAAGAGACGCTTATTTACTGTTCACAAGACGCACCTAATTTCCAACAGCAAGTCTGTGAAAATCACCGTATTTTGTTAGCATTAAATGCTAGTGCTACAATTAGGATTCGCTTGCATGGTACGGCTTGGGTACGGCTTGGGTACAGCTTGGGTGCGGCTTGGGTGCGGCTTGGGTGCGGCTTGGGTACGGCTTGGGTACGGCTTGCGTAACTTACAATTGAAAACCGTCAGCTTGCAGTATGGCTCGGTTCTTGGTGGTAATAGAAAAGTGCCATTAGTCTACTTGAAGGTGTTGAGGCACTCACCTTGGGGGGTTCAGGGACAAAAGAGGGGGGTGGGGTGGGTTCCCTCTGCAGCTCTGGGGGGGTGGGAGAGTGAGAAGAAGCTGGTGCTGTTGCCTGCAGCAATGCTTAGCTGACCACTCACCTCATCCGGAAGCACGGGCTCAGAGGAGCGGGTGATGGCAGACTC